TCATCTGCACCACATGTAGGGGGAGGGTGTAGGATAGGGGATATACTGGGGATTTTGGTGGTGGATAATGGGCACTGGTGAAGGTACGGGTGTTTCATTGTATGACCGAGACTTAAAACTGAAAGCTTTGTAACTGTTCTCATGGTGATTCAATAAATAAAATTATTAAAAAATGGAAAGAAATAAGGTGGAGTTCATGCACAATTCAATCAGCTAATCAGTGGCTGAATAAATAGAAGTACTCCTACATTAAAAAAAACACAAAAGAGACAAAGAAGACTTTAGAGACAAAAAAATGGGGGGTATCAAATTCTTTCTCATTAAACTGAATTATAAAGCTATAGTAATGCAAACAGCGTGGTACAGAGACAAAAAGACATGTTATGAACTAAGCCCTGCTATTATCAATGTCATAAATCACAGTAACTTAAATAAAAATGTAAAAAAAGCATACATGGACTAACAAAATAGAATTGAGAACCCATAGATAAATCTTCTTGTACAAAGAGAGTTAATTTACAACAAAGGAATCAAGAACATAAAATGATGGAAAATATGCCTCTTCAATAAATGGTGGTGAAAAACTTGTATAATCCCATGCAAAAAATCATAACATTGAACTACCACCTTATAGGGTACACAAAACTGCATTGGAAATGGGTTAAAATTTAGACCATACAACCAAAATGTCTACTACACTCCACCAATACCCTTATGTTAGTAAAGTGCAGTAACTTTGTAAATATATTACCTTAATTCTAATGCAAAAATAAAATAAGAAGCAAGAGAGATAATACAGAGGGCAGGAAGTTTTCTTTGCATGTGGTAAACATAAATGAAAATTTTATCCCCTGCACCTCATATTGCCCCCAAGCATTGTCAGGAGCGATTCTTGAATGCATAGAGATGAGTAAGCCATGAACACTGCCTTGTGTGGCACAATACAACAATAGGAAATAAATAAATATAAAAATTTCAAATCCAAACCATAATATATAGAAGAAAACAGAGAAAATACTCCATGCCATTTCCTTCTGTGGCATTTTCAATGATTCCTCACAATTTTCAAGGAAAACAAAAATAAGCATTGTCACTAATTAAAAGGCATCTGTACTGTCAAAGAGTCAAATCAACTACCACTAAAGTGAAATGATATCCCACTGAATGACAATGCTCAGACAAAAATATCAAACACAATGGAGTACCCACTGTCATAAGAGATGCAACCTTACTTTTTGTGACAACACAGATCACGATCACGACCATGACCATCCTGTTATTCGCCGGTTGCCTCGAGCAGGCACCAGTAACGTCTCCTTCGTCCTAGCCCTGAGATTTTTAAAAAAGTGCCATATTCAAGGCTCTTTCAGAGTTAGGAGAATGAGACCCATCATTGTTAATGGTATTTGGCATATTGGGTACGCCATGGGTAGTTAGCCAGACTCTGCCGTGTAGGCAGGTTACATTCGGTAGCCTGCCCCCACGCCTGGCTGTCCTCGCCTGGGCCCCTTGGAGGGGAGCAGGTTGAGTTTCTCTCCCCGCCCCTACCAGGGTTCTGGCAGTCGAAGACCTCCAGAACCAGCCACCACCATGCTGAGACCACTCTCCGCACACATGAAGGTACTGGCAGAGGAACAAAGGCATGCAGGTCCCGGGGCTGAGATCTCCAAGCCTACTCAGATCGGGACTGAGCATGCTTCACCCAGATCCTCCAAATTCCAGTGGGCGGGAGTCACACCCACCAACTGGCCCCCTGGCACAGTGTAATCTCATCAACGGCCAAGACTCAGAGACTATAAAACACAGCTCCTGGAAGAGAACAACGCAGAGCCTCCTGCCCCCGCACCTGTCGGTCCTCGCCAGGGCCCCTTGGAGGGGAGCAGGTTGAGTTTCCCTCCCTGCCCCAACCAGGGATACGGCAGCCAAAGACCTCCAGAACCAGCCACCACCATGCTGAGACCACTCTCTGCACACATGAAGGTACAGGCAGAGGAACAAAGGCATGCGGGTCCCAGGGCTGAGATCTCCAAGCCTACTCGGATCGGGGCTGAGCATCCTCCACCCAGATCCTCCAAATTCCAGTAGGCAGGGGTCACACCCACCAACGGGCCCCCTGGTGCCGTGTAATCCCATCAACGACAACACAGATGGAAAGCCAAATTCCAGATGTTCTCACCTATAGTTTTTAGACGTAGAAGGAGTTATACATAGAAATGGTTTTATATAGTAAAATTTATTTTAATTACTTCTCAAGAAATTAGCAAAGAAAGATTGAAACTAAATATAAGAACAATAATCACTTAATCACTTAACTTCCCGTTAGTCGTCGATTTGCTCAAGCGGGCTCCAGTAACGTCTCCATCTGTCCCTGTCACGTGCTAGTGTAAAGACACTACCTCCACTACCCAGCCGTCGCCACACTCCAGGACACTTTCCGGACCCGCGTGGCAGCTCCGGCCGAGACTCACGCACGACTGAAGACCCGCAGAACAAGATAAGCGGAACTCTCTGAGACCTTGGACTCCAGCTCAGCAGACCCAGGGAAAGAGTTTCTCTGCTTGCTCCCACCAACCACAGGTGACAAAGGGATTCTAATCAGGAGCCCCACCCTACCCTGCCCTGTCTGTTTCCATCAATCACCCACAACCACCCAGGGATCGGATTGTGCACAGAAGACCCACCCTACCCAGATAAATACCTCACTGGCAGACTTCCACTATCGACACTACCTCCACTACCCAGCCCACGCCACACTCCAGGATGCTTTCCGGACCCGCACGGCCGCGAAAGTTGCGGCGCGACACATCATAAGACACTAAATACCCATCTTCGGGAATTGTCGTACCATATTTGATAGGGTTCAAATATGGTAACACCTACAAGGGTGATTAGAGGTCGCCCCAAAAGCCTCTATCCCTCTCGGAAAGACTGGCAAGCTACCGAGAGTATTCCGCCCGCACGGAAGAGCCTGGCAAGCTATCCGTTTTGTATTCGATATGCCAAAACCAGTAACTACAACTGGTCCCGTTCACCTGACCCTGAAGGCTTCACCGACATGGCAGCACTGACAAGAAGAACAATAAAGAAAATAATAATTATTGTACTAGGTATAGGTGAAATACAAGCCAACAAAGGATATAAAATATCAGTAAAACAAAGATATGATTCTTTGAAAGAATTAATCAAATACTTAACCGAGTAAAAATACTTAACCGAGTAAAAGAAAAGAAAATCCTGATAAAAGAATCAAATAAAAGTATGCATATAAATACAATTACCACATAAGATAGTACTATTAACATCTATATGCAAACAAACTAGAAACATTAAAAGAAATGGACGAATTTTCCCAGACTGGACGAGAATACTTGAATAGATCAACTACAAATACAAAATAATATTTTCCCCAAGAAAAAAAAAGCTAAGTGAATTCACCAGTATATTCTTTTAGAAAGGTTTTAAAGAGTATCTAATGCCCACTATTATCCAAGCAGTTGAGATAATATATTTGCACATCATACATCTGTAAAGATTACCTATAATTCATACGGAATTGTCAAAACTCCACAAGATAAAAATTCAATCCAATTATAAAATGGGAAATGCCACAAACAAAGTTTCCCAAAGAAGATGGCCAATAGACATGTGAAAGAAATGCTAATCACTTATTACTAGAAATATGTAAATAAAAACACAGTGATAGATAAACTCAACCATGAAAATAGCCTAAATGAGAAATATTGAAGACTAGATGTGCTGATAAGTATATGGAGAAAAAAGAATGTTTTTGTACAGCTAGTGGACGTGCAGATTGATGCAGCCTGTGTGAAAAATGTTATGGGAATAACTTCAAAAACTAAAAATGGAAATTCCATATGAATTACCAACAAAGCCAACTGGATATCTGTACTCCTCTGTGAATAGAACTAAATGTTCTTAAATAGATTACTGAATGGAAAAAAGCCTAGTAATGACAATAATAAAAATAGTATGTTGTATATATACGTATATATACATACATACATACAATAGCAATTGTATATAATTTTGTGTTTGGGTTAAGATGGATAGAGTGGCGATAATAGTAAATTAACTACAAAGTGAAAGTTCACTCAGTGTGAAATATGAATTACTAAAACAGAAAACAACAAATAATATCTTTTAAAATCAGTGAAAACTATGCACCTTACTAGAGTGAATGTGGAGAGGAAGTTTGATAATGAGTGAAAGTGTCATTTTTGGCTGTGAATTAGCACTAAAACATTGGTGTTAGGAATAGTAACTGTTACATGTATACAGACTCGTAGAACTCAACGTCTGAAATTATATACTGTAGTAATTCAATCATAAGTCTATGAAGAAAATTAAAAACGCTAACAAAAGCTACTGGAGTCATTCTAAAATTCTGATATTACAAGTATGATACTGGAAGACATTCATTTAATAGCATTTACTAGTTAAATAAATGTAAGATTATATATGTGTGTTTATATGTGTATATATATACCATTATATACAATAGCAGATTATGAGTGATCTTTTAACATGTTGTAAATTTGTACTAATGAAAAATAATCTAAGGCTCTAACATATTTTCAGCAAACATTATTTGACTGGTAGGCTTTTCAAACGCATTTATATCTTATTATCTTTACAAAAAAGTTCATCATTTGGATTTCACTTTGGAAAAGCCAACATGGCCGACCGGAGTTCGATTCCTCCGCCCCTCTCGGAGAGCCCGGCAAGCTACCGAGAGTATCTTGCCCACACAGCAGAGCCTGGCAAGCTCCCCGTGACGTATTCGATATACCAAACACATTAACAACAAAGTCTCCAATGGAGACGTTACTGGGCCTGCTCGAGCAAATCAATGAACAACGGGAGGGCCTTTACTTACTTACTTACTTACAACTATGCCCAGAATCTAGTTTCTAATTTCTCATTTTTTGGCTTTTAGTAAATGAACTTTATAATTTCAGTATAATTTCGGTAATCCTCACCCAGAATTCCAAGATGTTTATCTTCCTCAGTCTGCAACTTCTCCTGGAATGTCTCATCCTTGAAGGCTTCATATCGGACTTTCCAGTAACTTCCCCCAATTCGACTGGAGCTCTTCTGGAAGAATTTATTTGAGCCACTATAACATAATGAGATAAATGATGCATGAATTCATTATGTATAAAGCACATTCTCTTGTTACCCTTAGTCTAATAAAAATCATGGATTTTATTTTTAGGAACAATGTTAGAAATCATTCAGGATAATTTTTACTGGTTACATTAGAAGTTAAATCTACTATCGTTGAATCTATTCTCATGATGCCACTAATAAGTGCTTCAAAGCTTCTGCTTCAGCCTTTCTAAGGTCATGGCATTCATTTTCATAGAAAGTAACTCCACCCAGTATTGGACGTTTTTATGATGGGAGTTATATACAATAGTCTGAAGTGTTTATTCTTGCAAACTCCAGAGACTAAGTTCAGTTCTGTTCTCAAATTGTTCACACATAAGCTAATCATCAGTACCTGTTCTCCCTTGAAAATGAAATACCACGAAGCAAGCCCATTTAGATATTATGGAGCTAGCCTGGGATGCAAATGCCTATTCTTCAAGTTCAATTCATTATATTCTGTTGTGAGAATAAGGAGTGTCCTAATATATTCACCTCAAACTCTTCTAGTCATCTAAAAATTGCCAATTCAGTAAAATACCTAAATCTAATATTATATATTGTCCAGTAAATTATAATTTAAGACCTAGCATCTTAATCATCCATTTTATTTTGATGATATCTGAATATGGTCAAAGGTAGCAGAATTTGGAGAAATACTTCTAAAAGGATAGGCCTGACATGACAATAAGGAAGTTTTCCTCATCCTTTTTCTTGAGTGCTTTTTACATCACAAGTTAAATGCTTCCTTCAGACTATGGCGAAATAAATAAATGTGTAAGAAAGTAAACAGTGAGTTTTTTTAAGGTGGATAGATGATAAATATCATTTCAACTGATCTCATCCTATCTGGATCTTCTATTATGAATGTGGCCTGTAACTACAGTAGAACCTGTTTCAACTGCTTGCCTCTTTTCCTGGGCATATATTAACCCTATGTAACCGCTAAAGAGTTTGCTATAGCCCTAAGGGTAATCTCTAGACACCAATGCTACCACGAAGTGAAGTGAGAGATTTATTAGAAGTGTTTTTGACTGGATCCGGGTAAGGAGAGGAAGCCTCTTACCTGCCTGGCTCCCTCAAATTCTTCCCAGTACTCCCATCATGTCCCAGTGGGCCATAGTCCCACTGAATCTCATTGGCCATAATGAAGTACTGCCGGACTCTGCCCGTGAGCTGATTCACAGGAGGGCCCATGGAGCAAGATTTGACATTGTAGAATGCTTGCATGCCACCTGGAAGGAGAATATAATGGTTTACCCTATTCTATGTAACAGGTATTTTACCTAGATAACTCACTCTCCTCCTCCTTTAATAATCACTCTTCATATTCTCCACTGTTACCCTTCATAAATGAGTAACATTTGCTTATTTTTAAAATGAAGTATAAATATCTATCCCTGATGATCACCATTTCTCATTTACCAAAACCTCATTTCAGTCTTTGAAATATTGTACAAAATACCTTGATACCAGAAAAAAAGTTCAAATAGAAATCATATAACTATCAGTAGAAACTCAGACAAGTTACTTTCTAGACGTGAGCTTTAAATTGACTTTTACTTTTTTTATAATTTTTTATTGAACCACTGTGAGATAGACACTTACAAATATGTTCATGATTAGGTTTCCATCATACGGTGTTCCAACACCTATCCATCCACCAGTGTACACTTCCCAGCACCAAGTGTCCTTAATTTCACTCCCACCCCACCCCAGCATATGCTCTGTGGATGCATTTCTCTCTGTCTCTCTCCCTCTCTCTCCCCCCTTTTAGGCATTGTGATTTGCAACTAAACTGTGTCTTTCAAATAAGAAGAATTAGAAAGTCCACTACACATAATTAATAGGAGCATTAAATCTAAAGAGAGCAGCGAACTTTCTGTTAAATGGGATATTTCTCAAAATAGTAAAACATGTTCTATACATAAAGATCGAGATCTGAGTTGCAACTCTATGAAAAAATGAAGATACTTAGTGTCCCCAAATATGAAAGATGTTACATTCAGGCATACTGCTAAGGTGTCTGAATATATTACCTGACAACTCAGAAATTTCACTCATAAATATTATCAATTTTGTTCTCAGACTATGCCAAGATTTGAAAATTTTAATTATCAAATGTTATCGGAATTAACCAGACAAATCACTCCACCAACTAAGAACGGCCATGCACCACCACCCACGGAATCGAGAAAGAGCTATCAATCTGTCAATCCTGTCCGACTCCGGGCCGGGTGAGGTTTCCCGTGTTGAGTCAAATTAAGCCGCAGGCTCCACTCCTGGAGCAATAGCACAGCGGGTAGGGCGTCTGCCTTACAAGCGGCCAACATGGCCAACCCGAGTTCGATTCCTCCGCCCCTCTCGGAGAGTCCGGCAAGCTACCGAGAGTATTTGATATGCCAGACACAGTAACAACAAAGTCTCCAATGGAGACGTTACTGGGCCCGCTCGAGCAAATCGACGATCAACGGGAGGGCCTTTACCTTTACCTTTACCCTAATTATCAAATGAGTAAAATTATCTTTTGTTAGAAATCATCTTTCTAACAAAAGCACAACGTTGAGAGATTACCCTGGGTGAAACAGTTTAAGTCTTAGAGTACAAATGTGCAGGCAGGAAAGGATAGAATATGAGGGATAGACTAGACTTCAAAGAATCATTTATTAATACTGTATTAATAATTTATTAATAATCATTAATAATTCATTGTTGACTTATCAATAATTCATTCAAATAAAATAGAAATGATACTGCAAAAATGTGTGCAGGATAGCATAGGATAAACTATTTAGATTCTTGAGGTAGAGGGAACATGCACAAAACAGAATCAGAATCTGTGACAACTTTATATTTTAATAATGTCAGGTGATTGGCTATGTGAAATACTCAGTCCCTGATCTTTCTGTATCAACTGGATTTTGATGTGCATACTAATTATTCTTAATGTCTCTGTCAGTTTAAACCAAGACTAACATGTTCAGATCTCTGGTGGAGAGGTCATATCGTTTTGAATAAATAGCCTGACTGTAAGACTACTGATGGTTGCCAGATGATCCTAAATCTTGGACAGACCGTGTGTCTATTTGTTAGTCTCTTTATGTGTATGCTTATTTCATTCCCTGAGACCACCCCCACTAAATGAAGGTCCAACGTGCAAGTCCAAATGACATTAGACAAATGATAACTCCCAATGTGATCTAAAAACAGAAAAATAGATCACAAAGAAATGACACATGAAGACGCCAAAAAGTGTTAATTTGAGGCACTCAAACTCATAGATATTATCTCAGGTGAGAAAGAAAAACTATAGTAACAAGATTCTTAGCCATAGGAGAGAAGAACTAAAAGCAGAATAAGAAATGGTAAGTTTATTGAGTTTAAATCATGACAGTAATTCAAAACAAAGAAAGAACAGAATGTATTTTGAGAGAAAAACATGTCAAAATGGGAGGTCTTCCTGAAACTATACTAACTTTCCCCACAGTAATAATAACTTTGTTGTCAATAGGGTAGTGCAAGATAAAATTGAGGGAGCCTCAGAAGAAAAGAAGGATTTTCTATCCAATAAGTATGCGAGAATGAGACCCTTACATTTCATTGCCCAAATGCTGGAGTATAAGAGGGACTGAAAACTATCCAATTTTCCCAGCACCACTTGTCAAAGAGGTTTTACTTGTTCCACTTCATATTTCTTGCTCCTTTGTCAAAGATTAAGTCGTCATATATTTGGGGGTCTGCGACAGAATATTCAACTTTGTTCCATTGGTCTGCAAGTAGTGTCTAACCCAGTACCATGCTTTCTTAATTACTACTGTTCACAATAGCCAAAATCTGGAAACAACCCAAGTGTCCTAGAACAGATGACTGGTTAAAGAAACTTTGGTACATCTATACAGTGGAATACTATGCAGCTGTTAGGAGAGATGAAGTCGTGGAATTTGCTTAAAAATGTATAGGCATGGAGAGTATCATGTTAAGTGAAATGAGACAGAAAGAGAGGGACAAACACAGAAGGACTGCACTCATTCGTGGAGTATAAAACAACATAACATGAGGCTGACACCTAAGGTTAGTAGATACACGGGACAGGGTGATTGCTCCATAGCTGGAAGCCTGCCTCATGACCAAAGGGGAGAAGGCAGCTGGAATAGAAAAGGGATCACTAAGAAAATGATGGCTTGAGAAACTGGACGGAATGGGAGATGTGTGCTGAAAGTAGATAAAGGATCAAACATGATAACCTCTCAGTATCTGTGTTGCAAACCATAATGACCCAAAGTAGAGAGAAAGTATGGGGACTATTTTCTGCCATGGAGGCAGGGAAAGGGTGGGAAAGGGAGCTTGTACCGGTGATATTGGTGGTGGGGAATGTGCAGTGGTGGATGGGTTGATGTTTGATCATTGTGTGTTTGTAACCTAAACATGAAAGCTTGGAACTTTCTTACGGTGATTCAATAACATTTTTAAAAAATTAAAAAAGCAGGACTGGAAAGTATAAGAAATATCAGATGGCTTTCAAATAAGGGGGGCTAATTTACATGGATATTATGAACACATTCATGTTCATAGATTTTCATTAAGGACAATATTATAACATCATATAGTATTGTCTTTAGAGAACAGGGTATGGGAATTTTTACAGTAATCAGAATGGCTAAATTCAGCAAAGAATTATCACATAGAAATATATGAACCCCTAATAGTTATGGCTTAAAACAATATTGTTAAAATAAAAAATTGTTCATAAAATGATTGTTTAGCCTAACACATACTGGTTTACAGAATTATGCATTTGGACATAATGCTTTTATATTAGCAGTATTTAATTATCATAATTTGTTCCTGTGATCTAAGCAGAAAAATTCCATAGTTCTTCAAAGTTTTTTGATGGATAAAATGTTTATTAATATCAATAAATTCTAAGTAAATTGATATTATAGCATTGTAACTAAAAGGGGTTCAAATAAAGTTTATTTAATCTGATTGAGAGGCAAAAGTGTAAAACGATGCATTTATATATCTAGGAATATTTTATCTCTCAGATTTTGATAACAAATTTCTAGAGCTATTTAGCAAAAAACTGAGTGATTTTACACACCACCTGAAGTTGTGAATAAGGAAACATTTAGGCAGTCATTAGAAATAGATGTGAGTTTTTATTAAAGGTTCATATATGGAAATCTTTATTAACAAGTAGGTATTATACTGTAGTATAAATAGTACCAGTAAGAGCCTAAAGACTTTTTCAGAACCTCTATTCCCAGTAAAACCTCCAAAGGAATTTTCTAAAGAGAGTGGGTCACTTTAAAATACAAGCCTCTCCATGAAAAAGATATTAAGGGCATTCAGGTTAGAAAGGAAAACCTCAAGCTCTCACCATTCGCAGATGATATAATACTATACTTAGAGGACGCTAATACCTCTACGAATAAAATCCTAGAAACAATAGACTTGTATAGAAAAGCTGCAGGCTACAAAATCAATACCCAAAAGTCCATGGCTTTCATATAAGCAAATAGTGAGAGAGAAGAAAGTGACATAAAAATACAATCCCGTTCACAATTGTGCCCCAGAAAATCAAGTACCTAGGAATCAGCTTAATTAAGGAAGTAAAGGACTTGTACAAAGAAAACTACAAAACGCTACTTCAAGAAATAAAAGAGAATATGAGAAAATGGAAAGATATCCTGTGCTCATGGATTGGGACAATTAACATTGTCAAAATGGCAATTCTTCCTAAAGCATTGTACAAATTTAATGCAGTCGCTATAACGATACCAATGACATTCTTCAAAGAAATGGAGCAAACACTCCTGAAATTCATATGGAACAATAAGCATTCATGAATAGCTAAAGCAATTCTTGGGAAAAAGAAAATGGGAGAACTCACCCGTCCTCACTTCAAACTCTACTACAAAGCAGTAATAATTAAAACATCATGGAACTGGAACAAAGGCAGAGCTGCAGACCAATGGAATAGGGTTGAATATATTGACATCTCCCCCCAAAACATATCATCATCTAATGTTAATAAGGAAGCAGGAAATGTGAAGCGGAGAAAGGAAAGCCTCTTTAACAAATTATGCTGGCAAAACTGGACAGATACATGCAAAAAAATGGGTTTAGATCTCTGCCTAACACCATTTAAAAAAGTAAGATCAAAGGTGATTAAAGACCTCAATATCAGACCTGAATCCATAAGATACATTGAAGTCAAAGTTGGCAAAACCCCTCCATGACATTGAAGCTAATGGTATCTTCAAAGATGTCATGGCACTGGCCAAGCAAGTGAAAACAGAGGTAGACAAATGGGACTATCTAACACTAAGAAGTTTCTGCACCTCAAAAGACAAAAAAAAAAAAAGAAGTGACCAGCTACATGCAAAAAAATGGGCTCAGATCTCTGCCTAACACCGTGTACAAAAGTCAGATCAAAATGGATTAAAGACCTCAACATCAGACCAGAATCCATAAGGTACATTGAACACAAAGACGGCAAAACCCACCATGACATTGAACCTAGTGATGTCTTCAAAGATGTCACACCACTGGCCAAGCAATTGAAAACAGAGATAGACAAAAGGGACTATCTTAAACTAAGAAGCTTCTGCATCTCAAAAGAAACAGTGACCAAAATACAAAGACACTCCACAGAATGGGAAAGGATATTTGCCAAATACACATCTGACAAGGGGTTAATATGAAGGATATACAAATTACTGCTTGAACTCCACAAGAAGAAAACATCCAACCCGATCAGAAAATGGGGCGAAGAAATGAACAGAAACTTCCTCAATGATGAAATCCGAATGGCTAAAAGACACATGAGAAAATGCTCTACATCATTAATCATCAGGGAGATGCACATCAAAACAACAATGATATATCATTTCACACCACAGAGACTGGCCGACATACAAAAGAACAAAAGCAACTGGTGTTGGTGCGGATGTGATGAGAATGGGATCCTGCTTCACTGCTGGTGGGAATGCCGACTGGTCCAACCCTTCTGGAAAACAGTATGGACAAGTCTCAAAAAATTAGAAATTGAGCTCCCATTTGACCCAGCAATACCACTCCTGGGAATATACCCCGGAGAGGCAAAAAAATTATAGTTGAAATGATATCTGCCATTGTCTGTTCATTGAAGCACTGTTTACAATAGCTAGAATCTGAGTGCCTGAGAACAGATGACTGGTTAAAGAAATTTTGGTACATCTACACAATGGAAGACTACGTAACTGTCAGAAAGGATGAAGTCATAAAATTTACATACAAGTGGTACTACATGGAAAATATCATGCTAAGTAAAATGAGTCAGAAAGAGAAGGATAGACATAGAAAGATTACATTCATCTGGGGAACATAAAGTAACAAAATAGGAGACTAACACTCAAGAATTGCCGAGATAAATACCAGGAGGTTTACTCCATGGTTTGGACGCCAGCTACACACTCTAGGGGTAAAGACAGCCCAGATGCAGAAGGGAGCACCAAATGGGGGATATTGGGAGGATCCCCCCAGGATGGGAGAAGCAAGGTGAGAGTAGACTCTAGACAAACATGTTGCTAATCAATGCCTATTTTGCAGGCCATAGCACCCAAAAGGAGAGAGAGAACAAAAGGGAGTGCCATGCACAGAGGCAGGGTAAGATGGGGGATGAGGGGGGTGGGAAGGGTACTGGGATCAGTGGCGGTGGAGGGTGGGCACTGGAGGAGGGATGGGTACTCGATCACTGTACAACAGAAGCCCAAGCACAAAAATTTGTAAGTCTACAAATGTACCTCATGATGTTTCACAAAAAGAAAACAGTGACCAAAATATAAAGACAGTCTCCAGAATGGAAAACCATATTCTGCCAATACCCATCTGACAAGGGGTTGATATCAAGGATATACAAAGTTCTGGTTGAACTCCAACAGGAAGAAAACATCCAACCCCTTCAAAAAATGGAGCGAAAAAATGAACAGAAACTTTCTCAAAGAAGAAATCTGAATGGATAAAAGGCACATGAGAAAATGCTCTACATAATTAATCATCAGGGAGATGCAGATCAAAACAACAATGATATATCATCTCACACCACAGAGACTGGCCCACATCCAAAAGAACAAAAGCAACTGGTGTTGGTGCGGATGTGATGAGAAAGGGATCCTGCTTTACTGCTGGTGAGAATGCCAAATGGTTCAGCCTTTTTGGGAAACAGTATGGACGATTCTCAAAAAACTAGAAATTGAGCTCCCATTTGATCCAGCAATACCACTTCTGGGAATATATCCCAGAGAGGCAAAAAAAGTATAGTTGAAGTGACATCTGCACTTGTTTGTTCATTGCTGCAGTGTTTACAATAGCCAGAATCTGGAAAAAACCTGAGTGCCCGAGAACAGATGACTGGTTAAAGAAACTTTGGTATATCTACACAATGGAGTACTATGTAGCTGTTAGAAAAGATGAAGTAATGAAATTTACATATAAGTGGTACTACATGGAAAGTATCATGCTAAGCGAAATGAGTCAGAAAGAGAGGGACAGACAGAAAAATTACATTCATCTAGCGAACACAAAGTAACAAAATAGGAGACTAACACCCAAGAGTAGCCGAGATAAGTGCCAGGAGGCTCACTTGATGGTTTGGAAGCCAGCCGCACATGTTAGGGGAAAAGGGAGCTCAGATAGAGAAGGGAACACCAAATAAAGGGTGTTGGGGCTATCCTCCCATGGTGGGAGATGCATGCTGCAAGTAGACTATAGACCAAACATAATTGCCACTCAATGTCTCTTGCAAACCACAGCACCCAAAAGGAGAGAGAGAACAAAAGGAATGCCCTGCCATAGGGTGTGATGGGGGGAATGGGGGTGAGAGGGTTACTGGGATCCCTGGTGGTGGAAAATGGGCACTGGTGGATGGATGCGTACTCAATCATTGTATAATTGAAACCCAAGCACAAAAGTTTGTAAGTCTACAACTGTAAGTCATGGTGTTTCACTAATAAAATAAAAAATAAATAAATAAATAAATAAAATACAAGTCTCTCAAGTTCCTCATTTTATAGAACTCACTGGGGGAAAATTGAATTACCCACTTTTTCAAACTAAATTCTAAATCATTTTGCCTGGAAAAAAATAAGTATGTTGCTTCCAGATCTTAAGTCGAACTTATTCGTGATTTCTAGAAGACGGATACGATAGAAGTTATTCTATAGAAATATATTATATTGATGTTAGCAAAAACTTAATTTTTAATTAAACTTTTTGAAATTTCAGTTGATACACATATACAGTGAGGCCTATTTAGCACTCTGAACTTTATGGGAAGTATATTCACTTATATTCACTTAAAGCTGTTGTCTTTTTTTGATATGTAACATAACTAGTCATATGTGTATCCTGAAATTAATTAAAATCTCAGTGGCAATCATTTTTACATACCAATAGATGACATATTTAGATTGCCATTTAGATTTTAATTAATTTAACAAATATGTTATCTATTGTTATTTAAAAATGTATCTGACAATTTATTTAATACATTTATTAAAGGAATCCAGAGAAAAGTAATCTTAGACAGATGCTCCAGACTCACCATAAAACTATGAACAAAGAATTATTGTAATCAATTAAATTTAAATGATTTAAATTTAAATTTAAAACTTCATATTCTACTCTGTCCTCAAATGAACTGTTACTCTTACAACTTTACATATCTTTTATCATGAAACTTTAAATAATATTTCTATATTTTACTTTTTAATTTTCTGGCAATAACTGGCTGTGTTTAGCCTGACTCTGCTCTCAGGGACTACTCCTGGCTGGCTTATAGGACCAGTTGGGGTGCCAGGGATAGAAAACAGGCCTGTGTAATGCAAGGCATTATATGATATCTCTGGCCCCTGTATGCCAAATCTTCTAATAACTTACCAAATATTCTTTCCATTGCCTCATATGTCCCTTCTATAATATTCCTTATTGAACTGTTTGATTACTTAAATATTCACCTGCTGAAAAAGAAACCTACTGCTATTGATGTTGAGTTAAATCTATATTGTCACCACTTTTCCGCAATATCCCAAGATATCCTGCTAAAATATTAGGCTTCGTTAATATCCTCATCACCCCTGTTCATTCAGCTGAAAATTCAACTCAACTTAATTTTTTAAAATCCCTAGCCCCCAAACATCAACTTAGAATGTCTGGTTATTCGTCCCTAACCATCCTGTCTTACATATATGGAACATGAGCTCCTGAGACATGTACTCAATTTTTTCCCTTTAAATTAGTGGTTGAACCAGGAAAGATGTTGGGCTCACAAGGCTTCTTATTTATTGCTCAATTGCTCATTTCTAATATACGTGTCACGAGAAACATATTTAAGATTCCAGACAATTAGCACAAATGATGTCTCTTTATTGTCACCTTCTTTCTATACCTTCAGGGTTAGATATTAGATCTTACCTTGCAAATGACTATTAACTTGACAGCTAATTAACCAGATACCAGCCTTCTGCGGTACCATCTCAGCAGTCAAAAATGTAGCTGGAAAAAGATGAGCCACATCGGTGTGGTGTCCTCGGATGTTCAGCATCTGTCCATGAAAGAAAGCTGTGTGGACATCAACTTCATTGCCCATGCCAAACAAGTGCCAGGCCACAGGTTTCTGTGCACACATGATCAATTCTGGCAAATTTCCAAAGATGAAACCATTGATTGCTGTAAAAGAAAGCCCCCCAAAATAGTATTAGAAAAGACGGCCTGTTGGGAGAAGTCAATGCTCAAACTGTCAGATTGTATATTATAATTCGTATATTGTAATTGTTGTATATATAAAATTGTTTATTGTTGTATACTATATATCGCTTATTGTTTTGTATACCACTATCAAATAAATACTGACAATAATAATGTTAGATCTCAGAGAAGCTATCAAAAATAATATGTATTAATTGTATTACAATTTATTAACCTGTCTAAAAGTTTAGACATTCAGAGTACAAGTTTATATTAACTTAAATCAAGATTTAAAAATCAATTTTTAAAGAGTACACTGAGCATTTCAAATAAATTATGCCATTTAAATCTTAAAAAAAAGTCCCCACAAAAGATAATTTATCTTGAGATAAAGGAGAAAAACAATATAAATAAAAAGTGACTTTATTCCCAGGGCAAGGTAATGATAAAGTGGTAAAACAAACATTCTAGCCCAGTATTTTGAGGAAGTTATTTAAGGAATTAAGCTTGTTTCATAAGTTATTCTTTCCTTCCAGACTACTTCCCATAGGGGAACTATAAAGTTAGAAAATTACTGTACTTATAACAAACAAATTGTATGAAACCAAAGAGAATTTTTTTTTGCTTTTTGGGTCACACCCGGTGATGCACAGGGGTTACTCCTTGTTCTGCACTCAGGAATTACTCCTGGTGGTGCTCAGGGGACCATATGGGATGCCGGGAATTGAACCCAGGTCTGCCGCGTGCAAGGCAAATGCCCTACCCGCTGTGATATGGCTCCAGCCCCAAAACCAAAGATATTTTTTGAAATGTCCAAATTTCTTATACTTACCCTCTGAGATTTTACTCACCCTTAGAACTATGTGGCTTTGTGCTACCATTGTCATAAATAACAACATTATTTCCGTAATTGATTAAACAAATACAAAATATTGCTTTATCTAGTACTAATATTAATTCATTCCCATGGCTTGGGAATTTGATGTCTGTAGTTTGTCTTTAGTTTAGTATAGATTATCAGTTCCTTTATAGACAAATATTTTCAGGACCAGAGCAAGTAAAGCATTTGCCTTGTACATGGCCAACTCAGGAAAATTCTTTCAGGTTTCACCTTTTTGAGAATGGGTATTATGTCAAATATTATGTTTATAGATGTTTTTGGAGTAAGCATGTTAAGCTGGTCGATACTTGGAGAAAGGGTACAAAATAGAATAAGTATTCAATGAAACAGATTAGGGTTAGAATTTTAGCTGTTAGCTTCTTCTTGTAATGAAATCCTAAAATTTCATTATACTTATTAGTAAAATTGGGAATGAAAAAATGATAACTCATGGTTCTTGTGATTTAAAAGAACTAGGTAAGTGAAAAATCCTAACAAATAATGTTTTCTGTGGAGATGTCCTATCAGTCTTCACTATCAATTAAGATTCAGCCATCTCTGCCCAATTTACCATGCATTCTATTGCTCTCCTGAAAATCTTCATCTTCTTTGTCTACTGAAGCAGGTTCTGAGCAGTAAGACTCAATATTCTCATTAATATGCCAGCTAAGATTCTCATCTATGACACTGAAGAGCAGGAAGAAGTCATGGTCTATGTCCTGTCTTCGAGGAGGAGAATTCCCATGCAGGGTTCCTAGAACAATAATTAAAACTACCCGTGAGAATTCCCTTTTAACAGCAATAGTAAGCTACAAAAGTTTCTCGTAAATCTACAACTGTACCTCATGGTGTTTCACTAATAAAAAATTTAAAAAAGAAAGGGGTAGAATGGAAAGTATCATGTTAAGCGAAATGAGTTAGAAATAGAGGGATAGACATAAAAAGATTGCATTCATCTGGGGATCATAAAGTAACAAAATAGGAGACTAACACACAAGAATGGCCGAGAATAGTACCAGGAATTTTTCTCCATGGCTTGGAGGCCAGCCACACATGCTAGGGGAAAAGGGAACTCGGATAGAGAAGGGAGCACCAAATAAAGGTTGTTGGGAGGATCCTCCCAGGATGGAAGAAGCATGCTGAAAGTAGACTATAGACCAAACCTTATTGCCACTCAATGCTTCTATTGCAAACCACAACACCTAAAAGAAGAGAGAGAGAACAAAAAGGTATGCCCTGCCACAGAGGCAGGGTGGGGTGGGGACGATGGGGGGTGGGAGGGATACTGGGATCAGTGGTGGTGGGAAATGGGCACTGGTGGAGGGATGGGTATTTGATTATCGTATAATTGAAACCCAAGCACAAAAATTTGTAAGTCTACAACTGTACCTCATGATGTCTTACTAATAAAAATAAAAAAATAAAGTGATATATATATATAATAAAGGGGTAGAAAGAGAGATGGCCTTAGGAGTCTTAGCAAAAGAAAGCAAATATAATCTTTTACTGATAATCTATATATTCCAAATTCTTGACATAAAAACCACACAAGTGTTTTAATCTACAATTTGATGGTGGGGAATATATATTTGTAATATTCCTTTCCACCATTTATTATTATGTATTTAACTTGTGCTTTATAATTATCACATAAGTCTTCAGGTATTAAAATATATTTAAATTTATTTTCTAGCCCAGTCTACTATCCTCCCTAAATTCTGATAAGAACACTTTCAACTTTATCCACATTTAAACCACACAACTTAACCTTAATGTGAATTGATTACCAAAATCACTAATTATGATTTGATATTTTAAATCTCATTAACCTGACCCTGAAGGCTTCACCGACATGACAGCACTGAGAAGGATGAGAAAGGAGAGGCCGACAAAATCTCAAGGCCGACCTAGGCTGCCACAACGAAGGAAGACAAAAATGATCATCTGTACTTTCAATGCACGTATGCTAGCATCAGATGCATCCATCGAGGACCTGATGGTACAAGCGCGAATGATCAAGTACGACATCATTGGTCTGACCGAGACAAGAAGGCACGAATCTCACCATGCTGTTTTCGACACTGGAGAAGAATTGTTACTTGGAACATGCGATAAAAGAGATGTTGGAGACGTCGGTGTCCTTGTCAACACAAACTTGGCCAAGAGCATTGATTCATTCGAATGCCTAACAACCTGAATCGGACGTTTACATTTAAATAGATGTGGCTCACTGCCTGCAGTTTCTATCTTCGTTGTCTACGCACGAACATCTCATTATGATGAAAGAGAAACCGAGAAGTTCTACATAGAGCTAGAGAAGTTCTATAAAGAAGACCACACCTTCTACAAGATCATTGTGGGTGATTTTAATGCGAAGATAGGATCGAGAAAATCAGCTGAAGAACTTCAAATAGGGACCCATGGCCTAGAATGGAACGAACAGGGTGAGAGACTGTCTGAGTTCATCATGTCGACCAAGACCATTCATGGTAACTCACAGTTCCAGAAGGCAGAATCTAAACGATGGACATGGGAGTCTCCCGGTGGATGATTCCACAACGAAATAGACCACATCATATTCAATCGACAGTTTTGCCTGACTGATGTCGCTGTTGTCCCAAAATTTCGAACGGGATCGGACCACCGTCTCCTTCGTGCAAAATTCTACTTCACAGAGCAGGGAGAAAGGGCTGCAAAGTTCAAAAAAAAAAAAAAAACTCCCAGAATGACCACCAACTGGGAACTCTTTGGTACTATTGCGGCAACATGGGAAGAGGCCATTGATGACAACAGCGACGAGGAATACGATCGACTGGTTCAGCACCCCCATGAATGTGCGAGGAACGCCGAGAGAGAGACAGCCACAAAAAATCGCCTATCTTCGAAAACTCTTGAGCTAATTCACCAGCGTGGTTTGGCGCATGCCTCAGGCAACCGCAAGCTAACGTCCGAGCTCGCAAAGCAGTGCAGAGATGCGATCAAGGAAGACCTCAAAGAGAAAGAGCAGAAGTACTGGTAGATGCGGCAGAAGCCGGGAAAAGTATTCGTAACGCCCGCCTGTCCTTCGCCAACTACAAGACCAAGATGACTGCCCTCCGACGTCCTGATGGATCCATCACATCCTCCAGAACAGCAATAGAGAAGATTATCCATGACTTCTACTCAAATCTCTTCGATAGCCATGTCCACTTGCCGACATACCAAATTCCACAGGATGGATATGTCGTTCCCAACGTTCTCCCTTCCAAAATCCGACACGCCATTTCGTCGGTAAAGAAACAAACAGCACCCGGCCCAGACAAGGTCAGACCTGAACACCTGAAGAACCTGCCGTCAGTACTCAACAATACACTGGCTCGGCTCTTCACTCGCTACCTGTCTGAATGCAAGGTTCCGTCCCAATGGAAAACCAGCAGGACCGTACTACTGTTCAAGAAGGGAGACATCCATGACATTGGCAACTATCGCCCGATCTGCCTATTGTCTGTTATCTACAAGTTGTTCACTCGAGTCATCCTAAATAGGATTGGCAGAACACTAGATGAAGGACAACCATGCGAGCAAGCCGGGTTCCGCAAAGGATTCAGCACCATCGACCATATCCACACAATAACCAAACTCATTGAGGTTTCTCGGGAGTTCAAGATGCCGCTCTGTTTAACATTCATTGATTTAAAGAAGGCCTTTGATTCTGTTGAGAAGAAAGCGGTCATTGAAGCCCTAGCCAATCAGGGCATTCAAGCCCAATACATCAGGATCCTCCGTGAGCTGTATTGTGGATTCACTACCAGGATCTCACCATTCTACAAAGAAGTGATCGTTGATGTCAAGAGAGGGGTGCGGCAGGGTGATACCATTTCACCGAAACTCTTCAGTGCCACTCTCGAGAATATCATGCGACGACTGGAATGGGAAGGAATGGGAGTGAAGATAGATGGTTGGCAACTACACCACCTCCGCTTTGCTGATGACATTGTTTTAATAACACCAAACATCAGCCAAGCGGCACAAATGCTGGCCGACTTTGACCGTGAGTGTGGAAAGGTTGGACTACAGCTGAATCTTACGAAGACAATGTTTATGAGAAACAGCCTTGTTCCTGACGCCCCATTCGCTCTCAATGGAACGACCATCTCTGAATGCAACAGCTATGTGTACCTAGGTCGAGAGGTCAACATGACAAATGACCTGTCACCCGAGCTGCTCAGGAGGAAGAGAGCGGCTTGGAACGCCTTCAGGAACGTCGAAGAAATAGCTAAGAGGATGAAGAACCTCTGGCTCCGGGCACATCTCTTTGATTCCACTGTTCTTCCTGCATTAACATATGCCTCAGAGACCTGGGCCCTACGCAAACAAGATGAGAACGCTATTCAGGTCTCCCAAAGAAGAATAGAAAGAGGTATGCTTGGAATATCACGTTTCACTCAAATGAGAGAAAGAATCTGGAGTTCTGACATCCGTCGACGATCAAGAATCAGGGACGCTGTCTCATTTGCCAAGGTGTCGAAAATCAGATGGGCTGGTCACGTAATGAGATTTAAAGACAACCGCTGGACTAGAGCTGTTACCGACTGGATTCCATGGGATGTCAAAAGACTGCATGGTCGCCCACCTTCCAGATGGTCAGACTTCTTCGTCAAGATCATGAACGATCGGTTTGAGGCCCTTCATGTTCCCGGAGCGAACAGATGCCATTGGGCTACACTAGCACGCTACAGGGACAAATGGAGACGTTACTGGCACCCGCTCGAGCAAATCGACGACTAACGGGAAGTTAAGTGATTAAGTGATTACGTGATTTTAAATCAGAGCAGAAATCAGTGTTAAAATAATAAAGAAAGCAATACAAAGAATTAAAAAAAAACAGGAATAGTTTTTCTAAAGAATACACAAGAAAGGAAAATATTTGATAAGACTCATGAGGAAAATAAGAAAAAGTGCTCACATAAATCAGATCAGCCCGGAACAGAAGAAATTAAAGCAGAATCATAAGAAATGCAAGACAGAAGGACAGCTTACTATGAACAAATCTACTCTGTTAAGTTAGAATAAATGAATATATTTTTAGAAAATATAATCTCCCAAACTCAAGGGTTGAGTTTTCTCCCCCCTCCCAAACAGAATACCAACAGCCGAAAACCTCCAGAATCCAGCCACAGTCATGCTCATGGCCACTCTCCACATGCTTCGACGAGCCTCATACGTGAAGGAACCGGCAGAATAACCCAGATGTGCGGGACCCGGGGCTGAGATCTCCCAGCCTACTCGGATCGGGACTGGGTCTCCTCCACGGATATCCTCCATTTTCCAGTAGATTGGCAGTCACACTCACAATCTGCCCCTGGCACCATGTAATCCCGTCAATAGCCAAGATTCAGAGACCATAAAACAAAGCTCCTGGAAGTGGATGGCCACAAATGAGGCCGTGTAACCTCTAATAGTCTGATCCACTCATGTACCTAAAGCAGCACACATTTGTTTGGTTTTTAACATACTTGCTTGTATTCTCTTATTCTCCATCCCTCTCTGAGAGGGATCCTGCCCACACGGCAGAGCCTGGCAAGCTACCCGTGGCATATTCGATATGCCAAAATCAGTAACAATAATGGGTCTCATTTCCCTGACCCTGAAACAGCCTCCAATATGGCACCATTGGGAAGAAAGAATAAGGAGAGGCTGCTAAAATCTCAGGGCTGAGACAAACGGAGTTGTTACTGGTGCCCGCTCAAGAAATTCTATGAACAATGGGACGAC